ATATCGTCAAATTCATCAAGAACAAGGCGATAATTGCTATATTTTGGTAGAGAAGTTGAAACCCTAGCAAGGAGTTGAAGTCAATTACATCAAAAATATTAGGAACTCAACTTGGAATTGAAGAACAAGATGATAGCCCAAAAATAATTAATCAAAAGGGGGGTGAATTGGTTTTTAAAATTTTTCGAAGCATTAAGTTAAATTCAAACAAGTAAAAACTAAATAGATTAATTCAGATAATAAGTACAAATAGAAAAGCGATACGTAAAAGGGAAAGATGATGCAAACGATATAATTGTGAAAGTTCGATCCAAATCAATGATCTACGTCATCCGTTACCAAACTCTTCGGTACAAGCAATGTCTTTTCACTATATTGATAGACTTATGGAGTAATCCAACCCTTTACAACGTTTCGGTGAATTACAAACAAGGAGCATCAATCCTTATACAATATTGAGTTTTACAGAACCTCAACACGACCCACTATTGAGCTTTCACAGGACCTCAATATGATCCATACTATTGAGTTTTACGAGATCTCAATATGACCACACGGTGACTTACAATAAGAAGCATCGATCCATCCTTATACAATGTTGATCTTTATGAGACTTCAACACAACCCACTTTTTATCAAAGTGATTTTACAATGGAATTCTTTTCTTGATAAATAATACAAACAAGTTAAGTACTAAGAGTTACTAACACTTCAATGAACTGTAAATGATAGCTCATATGTTACATGAAAATTTTTGATAAATATGATAATAAAAAATTAGATTCAATCACACAAAGTGTTTCAACGAGAAGATGAAAAAGAAATAAATTGCAATGTAAGTTCAAAAATTTTCTCAAGATATATCACTCTTTTAATGAATAATTGTAGTAAATTAGGTTTTAAGGGAGAAATAGAAACTTTAAAGAATATGATGATTTTACAAGTTTGATTCAATCAATCAAAGTTTTTAATATAAAGAAATAAAAAAATTTATACAATGTAAGTGCAAAGATTTTCTTCAAAAAATATATCACTCTTTTAAGATTGATATAAATAAATTAAGTACAAAGAGAAATGAAAAACTTTGATGAGAGAAACGATTCAAGAAGTTTGATTCAACAATCAAAAATTTTGTTGTGAATAAATAAATGAAATGAATGTAAAGATGTAAACTCAAAGAAAATTTTTCACAAATATATTTCACAAAAAAACCATAATCTTGTTGTTTAATGAATACAAAGTAAAGTGATATTTATAACAATCAAAACGCCCAAAATTCTGATCAATCGGACGACCCAATCGGACGTCCACCACTGAACCGGACAACTAAATTAGCCGTTGTGCGTCAGAAGTCAAAATAGTTAAAAAATGATCGTTGACAAACTGGATGCCCTCCTGGCCAACCGAACGTCCGATTGACTATGACTTTTTTTTAGACTTTTGAAGGAGTAACTAACATTGTAAAAAAAGTATAAAATATCAAGTTGAGAATCTTTGAAAAATATTTTTTTATTTTTATTTTTATGCAAGTGTTTTTGTAAAATAATATTTTCGTGCATAAAACAATTTTTGAACTTTTATCATTCATTACTAAATATCAAAGTATTAGTACATTTATATTTGAACTAAAAAGTCTAATTTTGATCTTGCTTCGAAGTTTGTCTCTTAGAATTCTTGTCTTGATCTTTCTTTGATGTCATCTTTCATGCTCTTGATTTTGCATTTTCTTGACATTTGTCTTTTAAACTCTCGTCTTGAATGATTTTGGTAATACTTGATTGATTTTAATATTGAATTATCATCACTCAAAATCAATTGTTATAAACAATATTAATCTTGTTTATTATGATCAAAACATTACGGATGAAATCAATCATATGTTAACAATTTTTCCATTTTTGATTATAACAAATAAGATGATTTTCAGGGTAAGATTGAATGATTGATATTATATTACCGTATTAATCAGGTAGGTTGCAAATTTGAAGGATTCCCACCAATAACGTAAAGGCATTTGAGCCTAGCCAAAAGGGTCAAGTCTATCTCAGTGATATGTCGGTGTTTCCTCTCAGCCCTCCCATTTTGGCCAGAAGTGTGAGGGCAAGAATACCTAAGTTCAATTTCGGAATTAAGGGCAATTTTGCTGAAACTTCCATACTTACCTACGTAGTCAGATTGTAATGCTTTTATTTTCCTTTCAAACAGGTTTTCTACTAGATTTTTAAATTGGATAAACATGTTAAGTGCATCAGATTTGTGTTTTAATGGATAGATCCACGTGAACCTACTATGATCATCAACAAAGATGATATAGTATCTAAAACCAGAGGTAGAGGTCACAGGAGCAAGTCCCCAAATGTCTGTATGCACCAATTCCAAAGGTTTTAATGCATGTGAATGGGATATACTGAAGGGTAAAGCATGAGATTTTCCGAACTGACAGGATTCACAAAAACCAGGAATTTCATTATCTTTGGTGAACTCATTACAAGACGTAAGGACTCGACTCAATTCAAGATTTGAAGTGTGACCTAATCTTCTATGCCATACATTAAGGTTAGACTCTAGAAGCTTGGCACCTTTGATTGACTTAGCATGACTGGAGTTCACTGTGAAGCAGGGAAGATAGTTGGTATTAATTTGAACTGACTGTTTGGCTGTGAGTTTGGACTTAGATCTTGGTAATGTCAGCTGGTATAAGCCATCCTTAAGCACTCCCTGCAGCAGAATCCTCTTGGTTTGGAGATCCTTAACAACACAACAATCAGAATAGAATTCCATGAATACATGATTATCACTTGTAAGCTGAGAAACAGTGATTAAATTTTTCTTGATTGTTGGTACATATAGCAATTTATTAAGTGCAAGAGATTTATCATTTAGTGAAGGGATGTTACCTCTTCCAATATGCGAAATATTAAGGGGATTACCATCACCAACCAGTAATCTTTCATTTCCTT